CTGCACGAGCACCTACTGGGCGCAGCGCTAAGCCTGCAGACGCAGCGATGACCGAGTCAGACCAGGTCCCTTTTGTCACGGGTTGGGGGGGGACAAGGGAGTATCTGTTGCCTTAAGTTGTGCGTTGTGATTGATGAAGCCAAAGCGAGGGTGTTGATGGAGGTCACCGGCGCCCCGGGGGGGGGGGGGGGCCTCAGGCCAAGAATGGTTAGCATGGAGGCCTCTGGCAAGGCAGGGGTGGGGGGGTGTCTCAAGGAGCGCCCCCTCCCTCTCTGCCCTGGCCTCCTCCCTGCCCTGCCTGGCCTGGCCCTCCCACCCCTGAAGCCCTCCTCTTCAAGGCTCCAGAAGCTTCCTCTTTCTCTTACACAAAATGGCTAAGACCCTGGACCCTGTGGCTTGGACCCCCTGCATCAGAATCCAGGTTCCGGGCTCTGTGCTCTCGGACAAGTCACTGCCCCTCTTGAGCCTCAGTTTCTTCCTTTTTTTTTTTTTTTATAAATATTTATTTATTTATTTATTTATTTTTGAGACAGAGAGTAACAGAGCATGAGCAGGGGAGGGGCAGAGAGAGGGAGGGAGACACAGAATCCGAAACAGGCTCGGAGCTGTCAGCACAGAGCCCAATGTGGGGCTCAAACCCACAAACCGTGAAATCATGACCTGAACCGAAGTCGGACACCCAACCGACTGAGCCACCCGGGCGCCCCCTCAGTTTCTTTATCTGCACAATGGTCCTTCCTTCACAGGTCTTTTCAAGAACAACTGCGAGATGGGGCGCCCAGCTGGCTCGTGACTTGCTCTCTGGGTCAAACCCAGTTAGGCGTAGAGATCACAAAAATAAATAAATAAACTTAAAAAAAAAGAATGAACAGACGTGTAGTCAAAACGCTCAGCCAGGGCTGGGGCCTTAGTAGATGTTCGAATCATCGCTGTGCATGATTTCTGTTATCCTGATGACTTGTTTTGGTTTCCTGATTATTTCTGGGTGCTCCTCGTGGGGCCACGGACTCCTTAGCAGAGGCCAGGGACCCGCCACAGCACTGCCTTGCCTTGAGGGACAACCTTTTGTCCTTCTTTGGGCCTCAGTTTTGCCATCTGCAAAATGGGCAGCGTGACATTTCCAGGTCCCAGACCCCACCGGCTTCTTTCTGTTTCTCCCCCAAGACTGCTGCGTCCAAGCTGCTGGTGCCCAGGGGGCCCGGGAAGAAGGGAGGCTGCAGGTGTGCGGGCCCGACTGTGCCCATTTCCTGGATCCCATGGGGAGTTCCCGCTCACACCAGAACCAGGACGGAGAGGGACTGGGGTGCTCTCAGTGCAGGTACAGAAGGGGTGTTTGGGGACGGGCTGGGTCCCTCTCAGGCCACTGGGGCCTAGGGCGGTCTCCAACACTGAGGACATTAGCACACTGAAGCACAGAGAAGGGGGCCGGCCCACACCCCTGGTGAGCGATTCCCTGCTGGAAAGACCCTTCCAAACGGGAATGGGCAGAGAAGGGGAGGGGCTTTGCAGAAGGAGAAGGGACCCCCCCCCCTCAAGGGATGGGATCTGAGAGGGGGTGGGGTGGTCAGAAGTGGATGGCTCTCCTCAGGTCCGGTGCCGGCGGCTGGGGGCACTGCTCCTCCCCCCCCTTCTCCTCCTTCTCTGGGGGGGGTCCCTTTTCCAGTTTCTCCGCCCCGCCCTCTCAGCCTTCCCCCTTCCTATTCCTCCCCCTCCCCCTCCCCCTCTGTCTCCTCCTCCCCCTCCTCTCCTTTCCTTAACCCCTCCCCGCCCTTCCCTCCATTCCCTCCCCCTCTGCCAAACCTCCCCTCCCTTCTCCACCCCTCCCTTCTCTCCTCCACCCCACTGCCTCCACCTCTCTCTCCTCCCTTCTCCCTCCCTCGCCCCGCGGCTCCCCCTCCCCTGCACTCTCCCCACCGCCCCCTCCCCCCTCCCCTCCGCTCTTCCTGCAGCCCCCTCCTCCCCCTCTCCTCTCTGCTTTCCCTAACCCCCTCCCCTGCACTCTCCCCACCGCCCCCTCCGCCCCCTCCTCCCGCCTCATTAGGCGCGGCCGCGGCGTGGGGCCCATTAGCGGATCAATTAGCCGAGGTCGCCGGCAGCGTGGTCGTTAAGCGCGGGAGGCCGCGGTGGGGAGGGGGCACCGAGGCGGCCCCTCCGCCCGCCCCGCGCTCCCGCCCCCCCAGGACCTTCCCGTCCGCGTCCCCCACCGGGGGCTCCCCGACCCTCCCCAAGGGAGGGGGGATTTGGGATGGGGGTGCTCCGGGGCCAAAGGGACACCCCCGAGGTCACAGATCCTCCGTGGCCGGGCAGGGCGCCCCCTTCCCCGGAGAAGACCCCTGGTTTGGGGGTGTCGGATTTGAGAGGCCCCCCCTCCCACGGAGCCCTTCATCTGCCGGCAAGATCAGTAATAATAACACCAGCTGACAGCTTGTGAGCCCTCGCAGGCTTCCTGCTAATTCTCGGGAGCAGTTTCCCAGAAACGGAGATCAGACAAGTGACTTCACTTGCCTCAAATCACTAGTTAGGGTCTGAGACAGCTACAGACCCAGGTCTGCCCTCAGTGAAGTGCTAACATTTATTGAGTTGCTTCTATGTGCAAATTAAAAAAAAAAAATGCAGCCCAGGCTCCCATCCCTCCTTTGCCTAGCTCTTTATCAACATGTGTGCTGACACGTTTTGTATTTTCCTGGTTATCTGTCTGTTCCAGCCAGAGGGCGGGAATTTCTGTCTTCTGGTCCCTGGGGCTCAGAGTAGGTCGCCAGGAAGGAAGGAAGGAATGTGCCAGGCTGTGCTATAAGCATTTCCACCGATTAAATAATAACAAGGGGTTGTATCGAGATTAAACCCAGTTTACAGACAGGGAAACCAAGGTCCAGAGGGGAGAAGCCACTTGTCTAGACTGCCCAGCTATGGGAGGCAGAGCCGGGATTTAAATGGAGGCTGGAAACCCAATGCCTGGAACCACCATGTGACCTATTAATGGCAGCTGTCACCTGGAGGACCTGGGTGGGGGGCCACTGAGTCCTGTTTGGGGGGAGGGTCCTGGGAGGACTTCAGAAAAGTGTCATCTGGGAGCGCCTGGGGGGCTCAGTCGGTTAAGTGTCTGACTTCAGCTCAGGTCATGATCTCATGGTTTGTGGGTTCGAGCCCCACGTCGGGCTCTGTGCTGACTGCCAGCTCAGAGCCTGGAGCCTGTTTCAGAGTCTGTGACTCCCTCTCTCTCTNAAATACTCAACTAAAACAAAAGGAAAATAGATATCAACTGAAAGCGTAGAGAAAAATATTCTCAAAAGAGAAAGGTCACCAGAGAAAGCTAAAAATGACAGAAAGGACTATGCTAAAAATTACCAGCCATGGGGCGCTGGGTGGCTTAGTCGGTTGGGCATCCGACTTTCGCTTAGGTCATGATCTCACGGTTCGTGGGTTCGAGCCCCGCATCAGGCTCTGTGCTGACTGCCAGCTCAGAGCCTGGAGCCTGTTTCAGAGTCTGTGACTCCCTCTCTCTCTGACCCTCCCCTGCTCACACTGTCTCTCTCTCTCTCAAAAATAAATAAAACATTAAAGAAAAAAGAACCTTTAAAAAAGAAAAAATTGTGAAACGTAACACACAAAAGGGCACACAGGGTATGAGTGAACATGTTGAATTATTACAGAGTGAACAGACGCGTGTAATCGGCACGCAAAGCTGACACAGGAAACACGAGCAGCCGCATCAGAGGCCCCCGTGCCCCTCCCCCCTCCGGAGGGTGACCCCATGACACCTGACAGTAGAGGTCACTTGGGCTGGATTTTGTTCTTTATATAAATGGAATCACTCAGTACTCCTGCTTTTTTTAAATGGTTATTTATTTTTGAGGGGGGAGGGGCAGAGAGAGAGGGAGACACAGAATGTGAAGCAGCTCCAGGCTCTGAATCATCAGCACAGAGCCCCACGCCGGGCTTGAACTCACCAACCGTGAGGCTGTGACCTGAGCCGAAGTCAGAGGCTTAATCGACGGAGCCACCCGGGCGCCCCAGTTTGATTTTTTAAAAATATTTATTTATTTATTTGGAGAAAGAGCGCGCGAGCATACGCGCGAGGAAGGGAAGGGCAGAGAGAGAGAGGGAGAGAATTCCAAGCAGGTTGTGAGCGCTGTGGAGCCCGCGCGGCTCCTTCTTAGGAACCGCGAGATCATGACCTGAGCCGAACCAAGGGTCGGAGGCTGAACCCACTGAGCCACCCAGGTGCGCGGAGTTTGGGTTTTTCACCCAAGGATAAACGTTAGGCGGGGAGCGACCTCATCGCTCCAGCTGCAGCCCCGAGGGGGGAGACCCAGCAGGAGGCTGTGGGGACCACTCAGCCCCTGTCCCGCACCCCACCTTCCCCCCTGCGCTTGGTCCCCCCATGGGAACCCACCACATGGGGGGCATGTGAGAATTTCTTGGACTTTGACAGTCCCCTGGGCGCCCAGGTCCCTGAGGGAGGGAATTCTGGGCTCCAGCAGCCCTTGGCTCACACCCCCAGCCTCGCCCCACATCCTGGGTGGGCACCCTCAGGGCCTCCTGGCCCAAGCACCGATGCACTCCTTTCCGTCTGGCGCTCCCAGGTGGTCCAGCTCAGGGGTGGCGGGAGGGCCTTCGGGCGGTCAGGTCCAGCTGGGGGTCTGTTCTCAGCTCTGGAAAAAAGGGTCTAGTGTGTGCGGTGGGGGCTGATCCCACAGTCAGGAACTATCTTCTGTCTCTAAGGGAAAATAATGCCCCTTAGGAAGCCTCTGGCCTGGCGATCAGAAACCAGGGCCTCCAGCACCCAGGCGTGGCTGTGTGACCTAGACCCTCGGGCTGACCCTCTCTGGCCTACGCATCAGGTTCGCGGGACAGGCTTACAGCGAGGAGCGGGACTCCCCCGGGGCTCTGGCCATCCAGTCCCCCGCGAGGAGGGGGCTCAGACGCGAGGGAAGCCCCCTCCTCCCCTGGGAAGGGGGGCACCGCGGCAGCCCGCAACACAGAGGCAGGAACAAGGCGACCAACCTTCTCACATCTTTATTTGAAAGGCACAGCTAAGCCCACCCTCGACACAGCATTGTCACTTCTCCGCAGCGATCAGACGACTGAGCACAACAAAAGCTGACAGTCTAAAAGGCTATATACAGACACAGGTGTGGGTGTTGCTTGTTTTTTTTTTAAACATTTTTCTTTTTTTTTTAATATCCCTTTTCTTAAAAGACAAGCTAGTATACTGGAAAAAGGAAAAAAATAAAATAAAAACCAAGACAACTTGAGTACCCTCATCTTTATTCGGGGAGGGGAGAAAGGGAATTCTGGGACGCCCGCCCCCCCTTCCCCTGCTCCTGGCTGAGCTCGCTCTCCCCGCCCCCTCTCCTTCGGGGGGCGGGGCGAGGCCTGGTGGGCGCGGGCTCCCGCACCGGCAGGGGGGTGGGGGGAGAGGGGAGGGAGAGGGAGGGGGTGCCCGGGGCAGGAAGGGGCAGCTAGCGTGGTGTCTGCATGCAAGTGCCGGGGTGAGAGGCTGGGGGGCGCGCCCGAGGGGGGCCGGCGGGACGGGGGAGTGCAGGGGTGCGGGGCTCCTGGAGGGAGGCCTTGCTCTCCTCGGACCTGGCTTCCCATCTGTGCCTCCAGGCCTCGGCTTGCCTCCTGTGTGGAATGTGCGGGTGTCCGCCCGCTCGGGCTGCAGGGGTGGGGGCGGCGGCGGGGGGAGGCCGGGGTGTGAGCGAAGCCGGCCGCGGGCGGCTACCATAAATACTACCGAGTTCAGCCGATCCCAAGCTGTACTGTGTCTGCGCTAAACATTCCTCTCGCTTCCGTGTGTCCCCCGGTCCCCCCCCCCCCCCCCCCCCCCCCCCCCCCCCCCCCCCCCCCCCCCCCCCCCGGCCCCGCTAATCCGACTTCTCGCCGTCGTCCTCCGGGTGCGTGTCGCCGTCGTGCCCGTTCTTGTCCTCCTTGGAGAGGTGCGCCTGCGAGCCGAGCGCCGACAGCGACAGCAGGCCGGTGCCCGCGCTCACGGCCGGCAGCGCGGGCGGCTGCAGCCCCACGGGCAGCGGGGTCAGGGGCAGGGCCAGCGCCTGCAGCTGCGACAGCTGGTGGGCCTGGAGCTGCTGCTGCAGGGCAAGGGGGGGGCGTTAGCGGCGCCCCCGGCCCCCGCCGCCCCACACCCACACCCCGCACGTACGTACCCGGATGATGGAGTTCAGCTCAGGAGCCGTGACCTGCTTCGCTCTCTCGATGGCTCCCAAGACCTGCTGTTGGTGCTGGAAGGGGGAACGGGGGCCAGAGAGGAGCCAGGTGCTGCGCCCCGATCTCGGGTGGGGCTCTGAGGCACAGCGCCCAAGAGAAGCCACTCTCCCATCCAGGAGGCTATTAGCGCCACGCACCCCCCTCCCCATGGCTTTCCACCCGGCCAAAAAACCCCTCCCTCCAGACCCTTCTGTTTACCAAGCCTCACTTGGTGCCAAATACTTAAGAAAACACCATTAGGTGAGCCTAAGAGACACCCGAGATCGTGCCATGTGCAAAGAAGTAGAGGTACAGTGCACAACCTGGCCAACTGTACAGGGAAGTCTTGATCCTAAGAGCTCGCAGACTGTGGTCTGACCTCTGCTAATCCAAGCTCCTGTCCTTCCACAGCTGGGGAAGGCCCAGTGGATTCTGGTGGTGCTTGGCCAGGGGTCTAGCTTCAGGGCAATCCCTCCCCCCCCCAGCAATCTGCCCGCCCCACCCCTGTACTCCCTGAACACTCATCTTTCCTGCCATCAGATGCTAAAAGCTGTCAATTTCCCTTTCTGCCTTGCTACCAGGAAGCCCCTGTCATGAAAGGAAAGCACAAGTCTAGGTCTTCAGGGCCCCAAGAACCCCTTTCTCTGGGGTTTTCACAGTGTCCTTCTGGAACTGTCCATGGGGCATGCAGGTTCCCCGAAGGGCCCCAAGATAGTCAGGGCTTAAGGAGGAAATGGATTATCGACAGGAAAACCTGGCAGAGCAGGAATGGCCTCGGCGGGGAATGTGGAGCGAGTCTCACACCAAGAGTCTTAAAATCTCAAAGAGCAGAAGTGAGAGCCTGGTGCGCGGCTCCCCAGGGCGTGTCTGCGTGTCCGTGTCCATTTGTGTGTCGCACATCTGCACACACCTGCATCTGTAGGTATCTGTGTGCATCTGCGTGCCACGTGTGCGTGCCACGTGTATGTGTGTGTCACACCTGCACGTGTCTGTTTGCATGTCTGCAGACGTGTGCTGAGTGCTCCCCCCCCCGCCTAGCATCCAGGCCTGAGGCGGCCTGTGGGGCCGGCACGCAGACCTCAGGAGGGTAAAAGGCAGAAGCCAGCGGGGAAAAGCAGCACCTGGTGCAGTCTCAGCCTATCTGACATCTTTACTGGTAAAATGACTCCCTCAAGCTGGGAATTCTGCAGCAGGGCGAGGCCCCTCCCTCCACTGCCCTGCACCCTGGGCCTTCTCCAGCCTGGGGGTTCTTCTTCTGCACGATGCACAGGCCGGGCTGGTGTCCGGGAGGTCCAGGGAGGGGAGACGTGCGGCCCGGGCAGCAGGCACCACGGGGAGGGCCTGGGGCAGGCTCCCAGTCTGTCCGCCTCCTCCTCCCAGCAGCCCCTGGGGGGGGGGTCACTCACCTCTTGGGAAAGGTAGGGGAGGACCTGGGCACAAATCCCATTCAGCCTCTTGACGATCTCAGCCTGGAAGGCACAGCGGGTTCAGGGCAGGCGCAGACCCGCCCGGAGGCCCCCGGGTTCCAGCTACGAGGCCAGCTCGGCCCCGGGGTCAGATCAACACCTCAAGGCCACGGACACCCCGTCAGCATAGAGGTGGGATCTGCAGGTGCCGGCCCTTCGCAGAACAGTGAGGACGCAGAAAGGGGGGGGCTCGGGGTCTGGGCGGCCCTGAGTGGCGCCCAGGGCCTGGAAGCTAGTGACTGCGGTGGGGAGGGCAGCAAACACCGTTACTGTTATGACATTCGCCTCCGGGCACGGGCGGCCAAGGCGAGGCTGGAGGGTGAGGGGCAATCTGGGGTCCACAGCGCGCTGGCCTGTCACCCTCCCCCTCTCCTATAAAGGGAGGGTCAATGGGGTGGGCGGGGGGCAGGTGGCAGGTTGGGGGAAAGTCTCTGCTCCTCCTTCTCAGGGAGATAAACCTCCTAGAGGGAAGGGCTTGGAAGGTAACAGGCTAAAGGGTAGACTTGGCGTGTAGCCAAGAGGCGGGGCCCACCTGCCTGGGGGCGCTGGGGGGGGCGTACCTGCTTGTGCATCTCGATGTTCAAGCCGTAGGACATCTCGTAGTACTGTGGGGGAGGAGACAGAGAGAGAGAAACGGGGGTGAGCAAAGGATGGGGGCTCGGCACACAAAGAAATGGGGGGAGTGAGAGAGAGAGGCAGGGGGGCAGCCAGACCCGGAACGGGGGCCCAGGAGCCTGGAGGGGCCGCTTGCGGGATCTGGGGGAGCTGCGGGGCCCCAGGCTGGCCTGGCTCCCCCGGGTTCTGGTTCTGGAAGAATCATCCTCGTACATTCCAGGGCTCCTAATCTTTTATCTTTAAGTGTCTTGTCGGCGGGTGGCCCCAGCCTCCAGGGAAGTCTGCCTTCCTGGGTATAAATAATCAGGATAAACAAATCCTGCGGGGCCTGGCTCTGGGGTGCAGAGGCCCCCTCCTTGCGCCCCAGATCTGACCCTGTCCCCTCCCCTGCTCTAAAGCCCCTCACGGCTCTCTATCATCCCTGGGGGGTGGAGCAGGGGAAGCCAAGTTCATTCCCAGGACGTTGCGCGGTTTCTTCGTCTCTGCCCAGAAAGCTCCTACTCATTCTTCAAGACCCGAGTCGCGATGCCCTGTTCTCCATGCGGCCTTCCTCAGGCAGTATGGCCCTCTCTGGAACCCCCCCGCCCAGTCCTGGGTCTCTCTCTGAGCCCCAGCCCCAGCCCTGTGGGGCCAGGAGGGTAAGTGTCTGGCCTGGGAGAGCTGAGCTCTGGGCTGGACCAACGCAGGGGGTTTTGATGTAGGAACTGCCACCTGGCCGGTGTGGATCCCAGCAAGTGACTCTGGCGGTGTGCACAGGCAGGGTCTCAAATGTCAGGCAAGGAATGCAGTGTCACCCCTTCCCTCCCTCGGGCCTCAAAGGATGTCAGCTTCCTGCCCCCCCTCACCCCCCCGGAGTCTTCCTTCTGAAGCCTGGGCCGGGAAGGGTTTAAACGCTGGGCTGTCCAAGCCGAGGGGGCTGGGAGGGATCCGGCTGCCCCCCCACGTCAGTTCCTGGCTTCGGCTTTCCCGGCGGCCGCCTGCCTCCCCACTGCCAAGGACAGCCGGGGGACCTGGCAGACCCAGGCTGCAACCCGGCGGTTTGGCACCTCGGCCACTGCCTGGGCCGGTGGCCAGGCCAGCAAGCTGAATGCAGAGCAGACCCCGAAGCATCCTGCAACCCGCAGGAGGCGGCCAGGGTCAGGCAGCTGCCGGGGGGTGGAGGAGGAGGGTCGCGCCCCCCACCCCCCCGCCCCGGTTCCATGCCCACCCCCAGGGCCAGCTTACCATCACGTAATGACGCTGCATCTCTGACTTCTCACTGGCCAGCTTGTCACATTCGAGCTTCAGGCTGCAAGAGAACAAGGGGGGAGGGGCCAAGGGCCGGGCTGAGGTCCCCCCACCATCCTGCAGGGGCGCCCAGAGCTTTGGTGGGGCGAGAAGGACGGCCCCATCTGCGGAGATGGGCAGGGGGCGCCTCAGGCTCCCTAACTATAAAATGAGACCAGCCTCACAGACCTGGTGGCAGAGAAGGTAGTGGGTAATGACACGCATTACAGACGCTGACGCTGGGGCCACCTCCCTATCCGGAAACTCGATGCAGTCAGTCGTGTTGCGTTACCCGAGCGCCACAGATGATGCAGTGGACACACAGAGAGCTTGAGTAAGTGGCTCAAGGTCACACAGCCAGCAAGCTGGCTTCAGAGGCCACAGGCCTAACCGCTGGGACTGTTCCATTCCTTCCAGGGAGGAAGGGCAGAGAGGGTGCAGGGCTGGCTGGCAGGGATCTGGGTTGGACTCACCAAGAACCTCCTCCAAGGGGGGCGCCCAGGCCCCTCCAGGAAGCCCTGATTTCACGAGGGGTTAAAGTTCCACCAGCCTAACAGAGGCAGCAGCGACCCCCTGGCCCCTTTCCCGGCAAGGACGAACGCAGCCCATGTCCCCAGCCCACTTGAACCAGCCCTCACGAGAAGGGCACAGAAAGAGGTAGAAAGCCGGGGGCCGCCTGGGTTCCAAGTTCAGCCCCGCCCCTCGGATGCTGTGTGACCCTAGTCAGTCCCCTCTACCCCTCTGGGGCCTCAGTCTCTGCATCTAAGTGCCAGCCTCCGGCGGGGAGGGGTGTGGGAAACGGATTAAGCCACAGAACGCTTCTAGAACAGCTCCTATTATACAGTAAGCACCCAATAAATGCATGTTGATTCTGCAGTCACCCCAGGGGCCTGGCGCCTCCCTCTGCCCAGCTGCCTGCCAGGCACGTCCAGGCTCAGAGACAAGCCACCGTTTGTGACGCCATAGGCCCTGGGAGTTCATTTTCTTGAAAAACACTATTTGTTTGATACCATTAAAAAACAACAACAGGCAATTTCACCCCAAACTCTGAATTTCTGGCCCTTATCTTGAAGATAAATCCCGTGTGTACCCCCAACACGGCAGGACTGGACCCCTCACTGTAGAGAGAGCAACCCAGGTCCAGTGGATGGAGATCCCAAAGTTTAGAGGGGGCATCTGGCTTACCTGAGATCACATGGCCCTGTGACCAGACTGTGACCTCTAGTCTATGGGACCAGCCCAGGCCCAGTGCTCATGGCCAGGGGCCAGGCAGGGAGGGAGGGAGCCCTGGGAGGGGCTCAGAAGAGCCAGACCTACCAAGCCAAGCCCCTACGCTCTCCACATCAGGGGATGGAACAAAGTTCCTGGGGCCTGCCCTTCAACTGCCTGGGCCTCAGTTTCCTCATCTGTAAAATGGGCACAACAACAGGACAATGGCGGAAGATAAACCAAGAGAATGTAGGTTCAGTATTTAGCACACAGGGGGCATGGAAAGTACCCTCAAAAGGTGAGATTTTTGTAGATCTATCTATATCTCACTGTTTCCCTTTCTTCTCAAAGAAAACCCAAGAAGCTTTTGAGATCACTTTTGTGTGGGTAAACGGAGGCCCAGAGAGGGCCCAAGGCCCTGCTGGGACTCAAGGACCCCCTTCTGATTCCCAGGCAAAGCCCCACACTCCATAACCCGGCCTTGAGGCCTTGCATTCTTCAACCCAGGGACAAGGTGCAAATCTCAGTGCGCCACTGCCTTGCTGTGCATTCCCAGAAAATTAAGACCTCTCTGGGCTTAAATTTAAGTGTACGATGAAGATAGTGCCAGTTCCTCCCCCTTAGATCCTGCACTTGGCGAGCCCTTTACAAGGTTAGATTAAATTCTGGACGAAGAACCACCTTGGGGCATGTGCTGGGACCCCAGAGACCCTTTCTCCAAAACTAAGCAGAGAGAGAGCCAAGAGCCTACAGAATGTCTTCCCTTGGGGGTGGGGAGGGAGGTGGAGGGTCCATCCCCCAACTTCTTGGGACGTCTTTCATCCAAAGGGGATTGGAGTGGGGGTGGGGAGAGAGGATCTGAAGCCACACAGACTGCTGAGTCTCTGGACAAATAATTTAACTTATTGTGCCTTCGTGTTCTTAGCTATGAAATGGGCTGTTCTGAAGTCTAGGGGAGTTTAATATTGGAAAAGTGTTCACGACAGCACCTACCACATAAAAGGTCACTTTCTACCTACATTTTTTTTCAAGTACATGTATACAGCAGGGGCTACAACCTCCCCTCTGGGCCTGGGGAGAGGGTCCACCATCCCCCCTTCAGGCCCCTGGCCCCCAGCTCACCTGTGGTACTGAGCCTGCAGCAGCTGAAACTCATCTTTGATGCGGTCGCAGGAGTCGGAGGTGGTGAATTTGAGTTGCTGGGGTAGGTGAGAGGAGCCCTGTGGGGAGGGGGCGGCTTGGGTCAGGGCCAGGCGGGGCGGGGCGACCCCCGAGGCGGCGGCCGGCCGCCGCCGCCGCCGCCGCCGCAGCTGCAGCGCACCCCCCTCGCCCCACTTCCCGGGCCCGTGTTTACAGCCCCTGGCGCGGCCCCCGCCCTCGCTTCCTGCCCCCGCCTCTCCCGGGGGAAGGCGAGGGGGTGGGTGCGCCCGAGCCTCCTCGTTCCCTGCCACCCCCGGGCTGCGGGGGCTGCGGGGGTGCGTCGTAAGGTCCGCCCTTGATGGGGGGGAGCGCGCGCCCTCTACCGCCCCTCCAAAGCGCCGGAGGGGGGAGCAGATCCGAGAGCCCCAACTGCCTCTGCGAGGAGGGAGAACGTGTCCTAGGGGGCCCCTCCCCAAGTTGGTGGGGGAGCAAGGCCTCCCTGCAAAGTCCCCTTGGGGAAGGGGCCTCTCCCAGCGCCCGAAATCACTTAGGAGGGGGGCCTCCACCCCAGATTCCCAGCACCCTTCCTCCGGCTGCGCTCTTCCGGGAGCAGTGCGCCGCCGATCTCCCCCCACGCCTAGGCCCCAAAAGCAGCCCCGGTGTTAGGGGTGCCCGGTGGGGCTCCCGGGGAACCCAGGCCCGTGGCCAAGGCCGCTCTGAGGCCCTGCCTGGCTGGGGGTTGGAGGCATGCCCCTGGGGCTGGGGGAGGGGGGAGTCCGGGCCCGGAGCTGGAGGGGACCGGGCCTGGGAACTAGGGGCGGGTGGGGATCTGGGCTGGGAGAGGGACTGGGACCTGCGATGGCGGGGAGCCCGGGTGCTGGCGGCGGTGGGGGCGGGGGAGTAGCGCTGGGTCCGGAGCTGTAGGGGACCCGGCCCAGGAGTTGGGGGGGGAGGCGCCGAGCCGGGAGCCGGAGCGGAGGGTGGGGGGGGAACGGGCCCGGCCGGGAAGCGGGGGTGGGGGGTCGGTTAATGGCCCGGCTGGGAACTGGGGTGCGAGGCGCCGACCTGGGGGAGGTGCGCCGGGCCCGGGCGGGGGGGGGGATGGCCCGGCTGAGAACTGGGGGTTCCAGGCGCAACCTAGGGGGATGCCGGGCCCAGACCTGGGGGTGGGGGTGGGGGGGCGCCGGGCCGGCGGGCCCCGCTTACCGAATGCCTGCTTTGTGGAAACATCATGTCAGTCGCGGCGGGGGGCGCGGGCTGCGCCCCGGCTGTGCGCCCGGACTCGGGCGGCTCGGGGCGCCGGGCGGCCGCGCCTTTGTCCCGGCGCCGATCGGCAGCTCCCGGGGCCGCCGCCGCCGCCTCCCGCGCCCGGCCTCGCCCGCTTCCTGCGCCCCCTCCCCGCGCGCCCGGCCCCGGCGCGCCCCGGGCCCCGCTTCCTGCGCGCCCGGCGCCCCTCCCCGCCCCTCCCCGCCGCCCGCCTCCCCGCACGCCCGGCCGCCGCTCCTATTGTCTAATGGCGGCGACGCCGGCAGTGGCCGCGGCCTCGGCTGCGCGGAGGCTCCGGCTCCACCTGCTGCCGCCGCCGCCGCCGCCGCCGCTGCTGCTTCCCGGGCCCCGTGCGCGCCGCCGAGGGGGGCGCGCGCCCGGGGAGGCCTGCGGATCCCCACCCAGCCCGCCTCCCCGGCCGGCCGGCGCGGTGACCTTGGGCCCGGCGCGCCCCGCCCCGGGCCGCGGCCCCTCCCGGCGGGGTGGCCCTGGCCGCCGCCGGGCCTCGGTTTCCCCATGTGGCGGAGAAAGGGCCCGGCCGCCCCCATCTAAACCGCCGGCTCTGTCATGGCGCGACCTGGGCGCGTGCCAGGGACGTGTTCTGTAACCTTGGCTCGCTGACGGTTTTCTCTCCGGGCCTCGGTTTCCTCTTCTGTAGAAAGGCCGCAGCAATCCCGCCGACCTCAGGGGAGCCATTCCTTCGGCACGCATTTATTGAGCGCCTACTGTGTGCCAGGCCCTGCTCCAAGACCCCGGGGTGGGGGTGGGGGTGGGGGGCACAAAGTCCTGGCCCCTGGAGATGACATGAGACAGACAAACGCACGAGCCAAAATCCCTGGCAGGTCGGTGGGTGGTAAGGGCGATGGAGCAAATGAAGCAGCAGCGCGGAGGGCCAGGAAGGTGTGATTTTCAAACAGGGGAAGGTCAGAGAGGCTTCCTTAGCCGCAGAGAGGACCTGAAGGTGAGAGAGGGGAGCCAGCGGGGGTGCGGGGGGGAGTGGGGGGGGGAGGAAGGTGGAGGCAGGCAGCCTACTCAAGGAGGCAGGAATAGCAAGTGCAAAAGGCCTGAGGCAGCGGCTGGAGCCTGGTACTGAGAAGCAGGGCAGGGAAGGAGGGCCAGCAGCTTGGTGCATTCACACAGGGGCCCTGCACTCGGAGTGGCCTGCGCTTGGGTTCATGACCTGCTGCTGTGGCCTGGAAATGCCTAATAGTTGTTGAACAAGGGGGTCTCACAGTGGTGTTTTAGGTTGGGCCATGCAAGTTCTGTAGCTGGTGCCGGGGGCCTGACAGATAGATGGTGCAGGGTTTGGAGGCGGCTGGAGCGCTGGCGGAGCAGGCCCGGCCTCACTGGCGTTAGGGTCCCACTTGCTGTGGAGGACAGGCCCCAAGGAAGCCAGTGAGATAAAGCACAGTTAATCCGGCAAGTGCTAAATACAGTCTCTTAATGACCACCACCGTCACTGTCATCGGCATGGTCAACTGTGCAGCTTGCCTCTGCTTGTTTGGTACTTTCTGGGCCTTGGGTTTTCCCAGTCTGTAAAATGGAGAGTTGGGACCCCAGAGACCTTTCCTGGCCAGACGAAAAGTCCAGACCAGTATGAGATGAATAAGTAAAACTCAAGGCCTCTTGCCGTCCTCCCAAAAAGCCCTTCATGATAAATAACACTTGCATACGATATTTTTTTAAATAAAAATTAATGCCAAAAATAGTCGCAATGAGCAGAATATCAGTGTGTTAAGTGAGGACAGCACCTGAGGGGGCCAGAGACGAGTTAGGGGAACGTGAGTTACCTAGTCCTGATGCCGTGAAGAAAAAAGGGAACAAACGTTGGGAAGGGTTCCTCAATATTCCTATCGGGTTGTGGATTCCATAGGCCCCACAAATCCAATCAGGGTCCCCGATGGAGATGGGCTATAAAATTTTCATGACTAGGAATTTAGGCATTTCAAGGTGCTGATGACAGGGCATTAAGCCGAGTGCCGGGTCCTGAGGGACAGAGCCACACACCAGGCACCCTTTCCCTTGGGGAGCCACCTGGGGCTGAGCCTGAGCTGGGTAGGTGCTTCCCAGTACTTGGCCATGTGGGGACCAAACACTCCCATTTCGGCAGACCCCGGACGTGGCTGGCGGGGTCCGAGCCAGAGGTGGAGACCCCAAGTCCAGGGGGGTCAGGGCTGGGCCTTCCAGCAGGTGGAAAGGCCCAGAATTGTGTCCTAGACCATGAACAAAGACCAACTGAGCAACCTGAATATGTTTGTCACTATGGACCAGGCTCTGCTTTAAGCACTTGAACCTTAGGGATTATGACATTGGAAAGATGGGGAAATTAAGGCGCTGAGAGCTCAGGTGTCCCAGCCGAAATCACACAGCGAGAAGACGGCCGAGCCAGGATGTGAAGCCAGGTACCTGGGCCTTTAACCACTAGGAGACACTGCCCCTCCCAGTGGCATAGGCCTGAGGGCCCCCCCTCCCAAGGCTTGAGGAGGCAGGACCCTGCATTCCACACTGAGGGGTTGACATCTTACCTGGGGGGCACCAGGGAGCCATGGGAGGTGTTAGGCCAGGGTTTCTCCACTGGCCTCTGCACTCTTGACCTTCCGGCCTGGATCACTGTCTGTGAGGGCTCACCCTGGGCACTTGGGCCCCCACCTGCTGGGTGCCCGGAGCACTTCCCTGCCCAGTGTTGACAAGCAGAAGCGTGGACACGTTGCTGAGTGTCCCTGGGCGCCAGATCGCCCCCAGCCGAGAAGCCCAGGCTTAGAGCAGCGTGAAGAGGCCGTGCCAGGTGGCGGAACGGGAGAAGGCAGGGTGGGAGACGGGAGAGGAGGTGGGGTGCCCCGATGAGGCTCAGGACAGGGAAGGGCTGGCCCTGGCCCCGTGTGGAGGAGCCGCAGGTGCCAAAAAGGCAGGGAGAATGCTCCGGACGGAGCAGTGTGGACTGTGTCATTAATCTGGGGGGACTGGGGCTTTCCAGATCTTCCTGAGGGGCACCGCCAGTGCACAGCCCTCCGGCTCCCACCCGTCCCCGCCTCTGGACTGGCATCCTGGTGTTCCCTCTGCCCCAGGGGGTTCTCAGGGCCACATCTGGGGGGTGCAGACTGGGGCAAGGATCTGTCTCCTGGCTCCAACCGTCTGAGAGCAGCCTCTCAGCCTGCTTACAAATGAGCGCCGGGCCCCACGGGCTCCGGGGCAGAGCCAGGCACTGGCTGGTGCATGATGGATGGGCTGCAGGGCCATTAATCACAGGCGGGGGAGGAAACAGGTGGCCACCGCGGGCTGGCGGCTCCGGACCTCCCTCGGGTACGCCTGGTGGAGCTGGGGCCTCCGCTGCCCAGCTCCGGGCTTGAGCCCCTGGCCTGCCCTAACCTGGCCGCGGGGGGCACCGTCACCGCCCCCCGCCCGCCCCCAAATGGAGGTGGAATTCATTCACTGCCTGAGTAAATGTCTGCTGCGCCTACTGTGTGCGGGCTGGACTCTGAGTGGAGGTTTACAGCACTGACCGGGGAGGATGGGAAGCCCTCCCCCTTGCAGAGCTAAGAGGCTTTAAAAACTTGGCGCAAGTCCTGCCTTTCCTCTGCCCACAGCCCTCCATGTCCCTGGGGTAAAAGCCTGGTCCTCCCCGCGGCCCCCGGGGCGCCGCTCCCACTGTAGCACCCCCTCCCCGCCCTCCCCTCCAACCGCTCGCTCTCCCCGGCTCCAGCCACAGGGGCCTCCTGGCTGGCGCTCCTCTAACACACCAGGCCCCGTCCTGCCCCCGGACCTTAGCACCGGCGACGTCCTCTGCCTGGGATACTCAGCCCCAAATGCCATTTTGGCTAATTCTTTCCTTTCCTTCCCGTCTTGGCTTAAAGGTCACCTTCCAGTGAGGCCTCACTGTGGCTTCCTTATTTCATTCTCGCAGGGCTGGGACTCTGGGACAAGTGCGCTTTTGAGTGAGGCACTTTCTTCAGGCAGGAAGTTTAAGGGGGCACCAAAAACCTCAGTCTACATGCTAAACGCTATTGTAATGCAATCTATTTTTTTTCATTGCGGTTAAAATACACATAAAATTTACCACTGGAGACATTTAATCCATTCACTATGTTGTACAAGTATCACCTCTAGTTCCAGAACATTCTGTCTCTTCAAGAAAGAAGCCCTGTGCCCATCAGCAGTCACTCCCCTTCCCTATGTCCCAGCCCCCGGCCCCCGTGAGCCCCTTCCCGCCCGTGGAGCCTGTGCGGGACGCGTCACGCACGTGGACTCACACCCCGCGTGGCCTCTCGTGTCTGGTTCTCTCCCTGAGCGTCGTGTGTTCGGGGTTCGTCCGCGGGGCGGCGGGTGTGGACGCCTCGCTCCTGCTCGCGGCCGAGGGACGTGCGCGTGCGTGGACAGACCCTGTCACGTGTACCCGTTTGTCCACTGATGGACACTGGGGGTGATTCCACTTTTTGGCCCTTGTGAATCCTGCTGCTGTCACGCTCGTATAGAAGTCTTCACGTGGATGAAAATTTCGCTTCTCTCGGATCTACATCCAGAAGTGGAATTGCTGGGTCACGATGGTAATTCTGGTTCACTTCCAAGGGGCTGCTGAGCTGCCTCCCCGGCGCGGCCCCATGTCACGACCCCCTCTCCCCGCCAGCCGTGCACGAGCCTGTCGATTTCCCCACATCTCTGCCAACACTTGCTACTGTCCTTTTTTTAAAAAAAAATTCAATAACCATCCTGCTGAGTGGAAAGCGGCACCTCGTTGCAGTTTTGATTTGCATAAGGCAACATTTGAACAGACTGAAATTAATGAAAAATTTTCCATGATGAGGAAAACTCCGAACTGTTCAATAAGAACAGGACCCCATCCCGCCCGCGGCCGCCGCCCGCTCCGCCTGTTGCCCCCCGTCCTGCGCTCGTCGTGGTCTCCTGTCCGGAGGACTCCGCGCCGTGGGACACAGGAGTGTGCTGTGTGTTGCTTTCCTTGATTCTCTAGAACCAACCACCAGAATGTTAGCTCCGGAGGCGGGGCTTTGTCTGTCTGTCACGGCTGTAGCCCCAGCGCCTACAACGGTGCCTGCCTCGTCCTGACTGCTGGACAAATAGCAAGCGGGCGAACGAACAAAGGAACGAACAGATGAA